GTAAGGAATTGCTGTGAAAAAGAAACACAGAGAGAAAACTATCCATACAGAATTAAAGTGGCTATAAATAAGTACCTCTCAATAATAACCCTAAATGTAAGTCGATCAAATGCTCCAATCAAAAGGTGTAGGGTAGCTGAATGGATAAAAAAAAAACATGACCCTACTATGTGCTGTCTACAGGAGACCTAACCTCAAAACAAAAGACACACACAGGACGAAAGTGAAGGATGGAAAAAATTTTTCCATGCAAATGGAAAGGAAAAAAAAGCTGGAGTAGCAATGCTCATACCCGACAAAATAGACTTTAAAAACATCATGGTAGGTGAAATAAGCTGTCGGAGAAAGATAAATATATTATGATCTCACTCATTTGTGGAATATAATGAACAACATAAACTGATGAACAAAAACAGAGCCAGAGGGGGGGAAATATTCTAGAATATAATAGAAGTAATCCTGTTATTGGCAGATTTTTAACATTTCCTATAACTTTTGTGATATTATATTATGTTAATAGAGTTCTGATAATATTTCCATATTTAAAATCCTTGTATTCTTGAAATATTAATGTTTATTGCATGTAATATTATATGTAAGGTAATTTTTCTTAAATAATTGGTATTTATTGCATGCAACATTATCATATTTAAAATAGTTTTTTCTTGAGATATTAATGTTTATTGCATGTAACATTATTATATTTAAAATTGTTTTTCTTAAAATAAAATAAAAAACTGGAAAAAAATATTAATGTCCTAGCCCAACCCTAACTAAAGGAAATTCAATCTGCAGAGATGGAGCCAGGCATCTGGAATGGTTAAAAGATCCCCAGGTAATTCTGATGCACAACTGGCTTGAGAATCACTGTTCTACAAGTTCCTATTATTGATTATCATTTCAAAGAGAAGGATGTGGTTATTTATGTCAACCCTTTTCCAGTGACAGTATTGACTGAAATGATGTCTCAATACTAGTTGCTGTCATCAATATGGCCCTTTTTAGACTTCACTTATAAGCCCTAGCCTACGAATAGTCACATACTTGCTGAAGTCGTCCTGCCAGAATCTTAAGATCCCAAATGAGTTATCTTACCAGAGGTCATTCGGTACTCTAAGTAACCAACATTGTTCTAAAAAACAGCAAAGGCTAAGCAATTTTTACCTGCAGGTAATAAATTAACATCAAGGTTTTTATAACAACCCCTACACCAAAATAATGCTTTGGGGGCTTATTTCTCCCAAACTTTTAATGAAAAACATATAAAAGTAGAGAGAATATAAAATACACTCCCATATACTCAGCACTACTTTGAGAATTATCAACTCGTGACCAACCATATTTTATCTACAACCCCATATTCAATATCCCTTAAGCTGGATAATTTTGTAGCAAACTAGACATATCATTTAGCTAGGCTTTAATTTCATGCAAATTAACTTGAAAGAACTTACACAATAGTAATGACAGGAAAAAAAGGTGATAAAACAACAGTTTGTAGCCCAGCCAGCCTGCTCAGTGGTTAGAGCGTCATCCCTCATACCAAAGGGTCACAGGTTCGATCCCTGGCCCAGCTGGAGTGTATGCGGGAGGCAACCAATTGATGTGTCTCTCTCACATTGATGTTTCTCTTTCTCTGCCTTCCATTCTCTCTAAAAATCAATGGAAAAATATCATTGGGCGAGGATTAACAAAAAAATAATAATAGTTTATGAATATAAAAGAAATATGACATTTGAGGTCTTCTCACAGGACTGATGAACACTGTGCTTCTGGTTTTGGCAGCTTAGGTGTCACAGAAGACTTAGTTTCATAACAGAACCCTCTTAAGTAGAGTTATTATTTGGGGTATAGAGAGATGATAAGTGAAATAACTATTTTGTTTTTACATCTTTGATACTAATGACTACCAAGACAACAAATGGTAGATTTCTTTTTAATTCTCCCACCTTCCCTCCAGTTTTACTAAGGTGTAAATGATGCAGAATAATTGTATACACTTAAGGTATACAGCTTGATGTTGATATGTTATATTGTGAAATTATTATTATAGCCAAGCTAATTAATATATTAATTACCTCACATATAGTTATCCTTTTATTTTTTTTTGTGGTGAGAACATTTAAGATTTATCCTCTTGACTTTGACTTGGGGTCTAAATCCAACTATTAGTTGTATGACTTGAGATTCCTGAATCTCTTTTCTCTCATCTGTAAAATGGGATAATACCACTATTTTCGGACATTAAATGAGATAATATATGTAAAGTGCCAAGGACAACCTGGCACACAGTGAGTAATGACCAGAGGATTGACATGGGCTAAACATTATTAACAAAAGACCAAAAATAACATTCTGGACAGTGGTTTCTAACTCAAAATACCTAAATTCCTAGAGTATATTGTAGTAATAATGGGTCAATCTTGCAGTAAAAGTCTAGCATTTTTTTCCAGTGGGTTTCTAGTAAGTGCTGAGAACTTGAAAGCAGTTTAAAAATACAAGCTATCCAATTAGATCTATAGAAAGATAGCTCTAGAAAATACAGTTTAACTAAATCAAATTGCTACTTAAACTATCCTTAGTGGGTGGAATAAAAAAATGAAGTACAGACTTAGTATTTGTAATATAAGATCAAAGGTCTTATTCTAATATCTCTTCTGATATGTATTCAGTGACTTTACCAGTTTATTCAGAACAATGAGTAAATAAACACTGTAAGAAACTGAATGGGAGGTCTTTTAAAATCAATGAAACAGGACATCCAGTCTTCATCTCCCCTCAGCTAACCTTTCTGTTAATGATATTCACTTTCTGGAAATCCTAAGTGAATCCTAACCTTTAGTGCTTCCATATTGTATGTATCTATTTGAACTTTATCACCAATGCAGATAGTTGAAAAACAGCCCTCTCCCTGTTTTTGGATGCATGGTTCTGTGACAGGTATGAGAGATAATCTAAAAAAGCAAGTTATCTCTCTCTTCATCACTAATAGGGATACAGAGAAGTTCTACTTTAGTCTTGGTATTTGGCCCAAACTCTTTTTGACAAGGCATTTAGTAAGTATTCCAAAGGCCTAGGCCAATTTGAGCATAACTTGTGGCATTCCTAAACTTGTATGTGATCAGTGATCTTGTGATTGTGTAGCTTCCATGATATCTAACAATCTCAGTAATGAGAACAATCACATCATTCAGATTTACTGTTATTACCTGAATATTCACTTTCAGATATAAACATTTGAGATGAAATGAAGTGAAAATGTCCTTACATGTTTGTGTTATCAATAGCAGAATAAAATGCTGCAGTAATTAATGATGTTTCAAAGTTAATTTTATGTATAAAATAGTAAAATACTTCAATTATTTAGCAAAATAGATGGCTACTCAATAGGATTAATATATTTAATAGATTACTTTCTCAATAACATGAATCTTTAAATTTTTTATAAAAATTCAAATAATGTAACAATAATTAAATTTAATAATAATTCAATCTTTGCAGAGTTGTATTATGTACTAATATTTATATATATATTAAAGAAAATAACATTTAAAGAGCTGTATTTAAATTTTAGTAACTTCCATTTAAGTCATAAATCTTTTCAGAAAAAGATGACTTAAAAATATCACCTCAAAATACCAAGAATTGGATACTATATATAAATTATATAAACAACAGATGTACAATAATCCAAATATAATTTCTAATCAAAATAATAAAAGATGTTAAGGCCAAACTATTAGAGAAAACTGAGGTACACCAAACATTTTTGGGTCAAATTTCAAAATAAAAACCTATAAGAGTGTCTTAAGATAACTCCTAAAGTCTTGAGTCTATGAAGGCTAAACACATAAAACGTAAAATGTAATACATGATCCTTTTCTGTATTTGAAGATGAATTTTTGAGATTTGCCTAAACTGAATCCTAGCTCCTTCTAGTAAATGCTGAGCTGAAAAATGTTTTTTTGAACTATTTTGTGGCACACAAAAATGTTAGTGATGTTTTTAAAGTGCATATTGAAAGTTGTCTATTTGGTATTTCTGATGTACAGTACAGTGATTGCAGTAGAAATTTAACAGCTTACAGTGAAGACATTATTCCTGCACTATAATCTTAAACTTTTCAAATCTTCCTATTACTGTTGACAACAATAAACCACAATGATAATTGATTTTTTTGGATGAAATGATTCTTCTTCCCTAAAAGTTCATTTTATGTTAGTGGTATCTGGCTATTAGGTATATCTGTACTCTTAGGTATTTAATGGCCTATCTTTATGCTTCTTAGAGAACCTAGTCTTAGGCTGGTTGAATATTTTTACATTGACAGTTTTAGAAAAATCCCAAGAGCTCTACTTCACAATATTCTCTATTCTTTCTTTCTGTTGTACACAATTCAATATTAAATTATTACTGTTTGTACTGTTCACTGTGTTTATCTTATCTTCTCAAGGGAGAGTTTTTCTTCAAAGATGGCTAATTTAATATTGTATGATACTTCTTTTGTACTACCCATGTGCCTAGCATGTGCTGGTCATTTAATATGTATTTACTAATTCACTAAAATCCAAGATTAGTAGCAACCTTTGGGTTATAAAATAATTTTCCTTCATAGTTTAAGCTATTCTATAAATAAACTAGTCAAAGCTAAATATCTCACTGTTTGAGCAAATGAAGGATTGCATTTAATAAAACACCGAAGTAATATTGTTTAGTGGTAGAGAAAATAGACACTATATTTAGATTTAAGACACTATAGGTAAGTCACTTACTTTCTTCATGCCTTAGGTCAGTGGTTGGCAAAATGCAGCTCGCGAGCCACAGTTTGCCGCTCTGCTGACTAATGAGTTTGCCAACCACTGGGATAGGGGTTTAATCACAAGGAACAACAACAGCCTGTAATTATTGGAATCGGGAGTCAGTAGCTCTACTTATGGTTTCTGCAAGGCAATAACATTATAGTTAAAATACTGAAAAAAAATCATAATATTAACACCAACCTGAAAGTTCGAACAAGATTTTTAAGTTGTGTGTAAATATCTCCTAATGTAATCTGAAGAGGCCCCAAAAGTCCAGGCAATCTGAAAAAAACACACATTATATTTCTTTTAAAATATAATTTAATTATATAGATAGATTTTTTTTGGGTGGAACTTGCCTAAGTCTGGATTTTCCGTAAGTAATAATGGCACTTAGGTGAAGGCAGTTAAGCTAGGTAGTAACTGGTAAGAAGTCATAAGGAAATATTTTGTAATATCCCCACACTCAACTTTGTAGTCTATGCTACAGTGTGAGGCTATGAAATACAAAAATATTATTTTGGCTGCTATCTATATTCTTGTCTCTAGTTTTCTTATCTCTTTACTTTCAAACATTATGCTAAATGGAAAGAATACTAGGCAAGAGGAAATACCCTCCAAGTGAGAGTAAAAATTGGTATATTTCTAGAGAGCAAGGTGACAACATATACACTAACATTTTAAATGTCGATATTCTGCTGAAACCGGTTTGGCTCAGCGGATAGAGCGTCAGTCTGTGGACTGAAAAGTCCCAGGTTCGATTCCAGTCAAGGGCATGTACCTTGGTTGCAGGCACATCCCTAGTAGGGGGTGTGCAAGAGGCAGCTGATCCATGATTCTCTCTCATCGATGTTTCTAACTCTCTATCCCTCTCTCTTCCTCTCTGTAAAAAAATCAATAAAATATATTTTAAAATTAGTAAATAAGTAAATAAATAAATAAATAAATGTGGATATTCTTTGACCCACTAACTTTTCCCCGCCAAAATATTTATTCTGCAGAAGTGATCAGATGCTTGTTGTAGGAATATTTTTAATAATATTAAAGTGGAAACAATGTTCATCAACACATGATTGATCAAATACATTATGACATACATATATATATAATGGAATATAACAGAATGTTTGAAATGATATGTGGTCCAGCTAATGTGGCTCAGTGAATGAGCATTGACCTATAAACCAGGAGGTCATGGTACGCTACCTGGTCAGGGCACATGCCCGATTTATAGGTTCAATCCCCAGTGTGGGGCATGCAGGAGGCAGTCGATCAATAATTCTCATCATTGATGTTTCTATCTCTTCATTTTTGAAATCAATAAAAATATATTTTAAAAATAATAATGTGAATCTATTTTCTGTTTTAAAAATTATATTTTATTGATTTTCCTACAGAGAGGAAGGGAGAGGAATAGAGAGCAAGAAACTTTGATGAGAGAGAAACATCGATCAGCTGTCTCCTGCAGGCTGGACTGAGGGACATCCCCCTCCCAGTGCATCAATTTCATGCACTAGGCCCTTAGTATTTAACAGAAATGTATAAGTATGAGAACATATAAAAGGCAAAATTAATAACAGACTTATCATATTTGAAGAGCCTAACATATAAAAGGCACTCAACAAATATTAAAATTACGTATAATTTAAAATGTTAAACTTAGAGAAAGGAATAAGCTGCTCATAATACTACGGCTTCCAAAATATTTTTGTTCATTTGAATAAACCACATAATTAAGACTTCTCCACATATATAACACCTTAAGCAAGGACTAAAAGCAACCTTTCCATCTTTCCTACTAAAGAAAGAAAATGCAGGCTAAAAAGTTCAAAACAGCTCTCATAACTCTGGAAAAAAAGATTGAAAGCTTCTTTTGAAAGAGAAACCAAAGTTGCAATTTTTAAATGTCATTTATGACTGGGCTAATTACAAGAACAGTAATTTCCACCACAGGAAGCTTAAAACTAAAGTGCAAAGTTGAGTTGAACAAAAACTCAAGTTGCTGAGTGTGAAATTGTTCTATGAATATTTATGCAGAGTGAGTTAACAGACTGTTAAAACTTTATGAAGTCTTATTCCATGTGAAACTGATGTGACACATTTACCACAAATCAGTAACTAAATGGGTCTAGCTTTGATATTTTTCCCCCTGACTTAACTGGATTATTTAGTTGAAGTGAGGTAGTTTGGTTTTCTACTCCCATAATCTCAACCTTCCTCTTTACTATGTGCATCTTGTACACAAAACTTAATTTCAGTATTTCCTTGGTAGGATATTTTAAAAATCAAAATTTCTCAGGTGAAGAAATCCATGTAAACCTTTCACATTATTCTTCACTGTTCAAAATCCAATAACACCTATATATTATGAACCCCTAAAGACCTAGTTAACTTAAAAATATTGTAAAAGTGGAAGGACAATTACATACTTACACTTTACTCAATTTTTCGAGTACGATGCGTTTTCTAATCTGATTCTGAGAACTTGAATCTATCAGTGGAAAGGTGGGATCGTGCTGAATCACATTTTTAAACAAAACAAAATAAAAACATGAATTTACATTCTTTTATAAGAATAATTAACACTAAAATACAAAAATTAACACCTGTGGTATGGCAGAATGAAACCTAGACTTGAAATTTATAAAATTTAAATTCTAGTATCAGTTCAGTCATTAGGTTTTTGTAAACTTGCCTGAATCATGTGCCCACTTTTGAGTATTTTCTCATCTGCATTAAAAGGAATACTAATACCTTCTTCATTGAATGAGAAAATGCATACAAAAAGACTTTACTATGTAAATTAGGAAATTAAAGGATAAAAATTAGCAAATAATATAAATATATTATGGGGAATTCCGCTTCTAGAAATGGCAAACAAGAAATGGCAAACCACTCCTCCTGCTGAGAACTGAAAAGGCTGGGGGGAAAAACGCGTTTGAAAGCATCAGACTGCTAACGAGGCAGTAAAGAATTATGGCTGAGATTCTGGAGAGGTAATTCCAGAGAGGCCACTGACTAATTTCAGAAGAGACAATTTAGAAACTGAGAACCCAAGCATTGCTCTTCTAATAGATACTGGGGCATGCCAAGAAAGGAGAGGCACCAGCAACACTCCCCAAGTTAGAGATCAGGACTTAGAAGGATCACTCTCTAGGAGTAAGAATGAATAGGAAACAGGCTGGCTCTTATAGGGACTGAAGCCCATCTCCAAATCATTCTAACTCCCGATTGGATTAAGGAGATTTGGCACTAATACAAATCTGCCAGAAGCAAACATAAATACATTCTAGAGGAAGATGCGTTAGCCGAGGTCTCAAATTATCTCTGTAACTTCTACTATACAATATTTGCTACATAATGAAACACTAAAACAATGTGACCGAAATAAGAAACATTAGACCATAAGTCAATCCTCAGGGAATCCAGATAATGAAGTTATCAGTTTTATTTAAAATAAATGTTCAATATATTCAAAGAAATGAAACAGTGCTCAACTCATTAATCACCAGAGAAATGTAACCAAAAAGGAATGCCACCAGAATGGCGAAAACTAACAATATCAAGTATTGTGAAAGTATGTAGTCATGGAAACTCTCATAGTATGGTAGGGGAATATAAACTGCCACAGCCATTTTGGTAAACCATTTATCATTATCTAGCATAGTTGCATGTATACCCATACATTATGATCCAGAAATTCTAGTTCTATTATAGATACATACCCAACAGAAATGCATGCACATTAGCAGAAAGATATATAAGAAAGTTCATACAGCAGTTCATAATAGTCTCAAATTGAAACAGCCTGAATGCTCATAAATATAAATTATTTATAAATAAATAATTTCTATAATGGAATACCATCTATACTAATAAAAGGGTAACATGCAAATCAGCCGGGACACCCTCATAGTAACGAACGAATAGCAGGCTGCATAGGGCGACAAGGCCAGCAGGGGGGTTAGTGAGGGACGACCAAATGACTGAACAGCAGGCTGCATGGGGGACCAGGGGGAGCGGGGGGGGGGGGGGGGGGGAGGGAGACAGTGAGGGCCAACCAAACAACCAAACAGCAGGCTGCATGGGGCAAACAGGTTGGCAGGGGGGCAGTTAGGAGTGACCAGGTTAGCAGAGAGGGGGCAGTTAAGGGTGACCAGGTGGTAGCAGGGGGCAGTTAGGGATGATCAGGCCAGCAGGCAGAGGCAGTTAGGGCTGATCAGGCTGGCGGGAGGGGGGCAGTTAAAGCAATCAGGCAGGCAGGCAGGTGAGCAATTAGGAGCCAGCAGTCTGATTGTGAGAGGGATGTCCGATTCCCGGTTTAGGCCTGATCAAGGGTTCTGGATTGGAGAGGGTGCGGGCTGGGCTGAAGGACCTCCCTCCCCATGCATGAATTTCATGCACTATGTCTCTAGTGTAGCAATAAAAGAATAAAACTAGAGTTAACAAATAAGTGATTCACAAACATAATGTTGCAAGAACTAAATTAGACACCAATGAACATATACTGTGTGAATTCATTTATATAAAGTTCAAAATTGGCAAAACTTATCTGTGCTATTATAATAGTCATTCATTTTGGAAAGAGGTAATGCCTAGGAGAAGAGATAGCGTGGTTCTGGCTTACTGAAATTTTTGTCTGGGTAGTGCTCATTTATGATAATTTAATGAGCTACAGTATTGAGCTATACTTTAATGGAAAAGTTCTAAAACGTTATGCAATAGAGGAGCAGTCAAATTTCAGGAATTAATTTTTCCTTCTTAAGGCTTGTAAGCACAAAAGTGATAAAAACAAGTTATGTACTAAGATAGGTTTATACAGCTGACAAAAATTAATGTTTCTTCAAATTTAAAATAAAAGTTACAGATACTAACGATACAGTTGAAGTGATTTCAAATATATAATAGTACTGAGTTAGGTAATATTCTCAAGAAATATAAAAATTTCTAAACTGTTACATTTTCACTTTCATCTTCTTTCTAAATCTCCAAATGTTTTCATAGCCACCTTTATTCAGAAGTCTTTAGTAACAAAGTTTTGTGGTTAAAACCAGATTATTGCCTACTCCTCTTTATATCAAATGACTTCAATTCCCAAACTACACATCAACCAAAATGGGCTATTAGAAATACTGAAAGATCTCCCTGAACCTCAGTGGCATACATTCAGTCTCCATATATAATTACTGTTTACTGAGTACCAATTATATGACAGGCATTGTGATAAATGCTTTATATTTATTATCTTTTAAACACGTAACAACTGAGCAAGAGAAGCTACTTGCAATCCTATTTACAGATAAGCAATCAAATTCAAGAACTAACTTCATACAGCTAGTAAAGGACAGAGCAGATATTCAAATCTAGGTCTTACCTGACAGTGTTATTTCCATTTTCTCTATTATTTCCCAATAAGTCTCCTTTAATATATTATTTTCATTTATAATATCTTAAATGGGCATGTTTGCCAAATATTATACAAACAAATATCTTACCACTCAACTCCATTGCATACAGCCCCACTGAAAATAACACAAAGATATGTACTTCATGTAGAAATCGAAAAGAATACATATAAAGAAAAAACAAGCCTCTTTAAAGGTTCTACATATATACGAACTATGTTTAAAGAAAGTTCTGTCCCACAATTAGAGCTTATTTCTACATTACAGAAAAATGTTCCACATTTATGAAAATTTTCAGGGGCAAACTTCAACTTATTTGGAAAATAGTAATGACATTACTAGAAATGGCATTTTAAATGAAAAGACTGAGCAACTAAAAAAGCCTTCTGAAAATTTAACAACTCTCTCTCCAGTATTTTTCTTCCTGGTCTAAGATTTCTATGAGTGTTCCATATGTTAGCAATAAAGAAAACTCATCACCAGTAAGACGTACCTCTTGTGAGTCTTGCGATTTGGTGGTTTCTTCATTTAAAACGTATTGTCCTCTATAAAACTCTCTGATCCTTAGGTTTAATATTTCAGTTTCCTTCTTCAAGCTCTCATAACTTGGCAGTGGTTTAATGGCTGTATCTGAGGTCCTGAAAGGCAAAGACGCATCCAAGCTGTCCTGAGATTCCCGCAAGGTGAGGGAATGACTATCTGGGTCAGAATTTATGTCATCTTCATCAAGCTCTTCTTCAACCAGAGGGACTGACGAGGGTTTTAGACACACAGAAGCATAATTCTGGCCATACAAAAACTTCAAAGTTTCTTCTGTCTTCCACTCAATCAAAGTCTCCTTCAGTACTTTAAGTAAGTTTGTCTTTGCAACTTCAGGACACACCTGCACCGAACTAGAAGCTGACCTGGAAACTTGGTTTGATTTGACAAATTTCCTCTTAAAATGCTCAGCACTTTTCTTACTTATGCCTACTAAAGTTATTTCTGAACTATTGTATTTCTTTTCAGGAATTTCTGAAGCATCTAATTTTTCTCTTGAAGGACTATTTAAAGAAACCTGAGTATTTACCTTCTGTAAAGGAAGTTCACAAGGAACAGCTTTCTCCTCACTATCTAATCTGCAATTGCCTAACTGCTCAGTAATATTTATTACTGCCTGTTCTTTGTCTTCTTGCTTGAAGTTAGGTTTTTGACAAGCTTTCTTTTTCATGATGCTTTTTTTGTGAAGCTGTTGCCTTATACCGTTTGCATTTGGTTTGTTTCCTGGTAGAATGGAGGAAACAAAGTCTTGCTCATTATCACTGCTACTATCGCTATGAGTGCTAGAAAAATTAGATTCATACTGCTTCTCAATATGGCCAGGATTGTCAACATCTGATGTTTTAATGGCCTTATTGAATAACTGTACTTCTTCTCCAGAATGGCCACTGTAAAAGAAAGAAACAAACTGTAACAGAAAAGCAGAATGTCCCATGTATTTACACTTTGTACCTTTCAAAGTAGATATTTTTATTCCTTATGCAAAGCCTTACATCTAGGCTTATATAAGTAAAAGCTTGTACACATACCAGTACACACACACTTCAGAAAAAAGCTATAATTACATAATTTCTTCAGTTCTTATTTATTCGATATCATTTTCTTTCCTTGTCCTTTCCCTATAATTATTTTTAAAATGTTAAAAGAGCCCAGACCAGTGTTGCTCAGTGATTAGCACATTGGCCTGAGCACTGAAGGGTCATGGGTTCAATTCCTGTTCAAGAGTACATACCTGGCTTGCGGGTTCAACCCTGCCTGGTTTGGGCAAGTGCGAAAGGCAATCAATCGATGTCTCTTTTCTACATTAATGTTTCTCTCTCTCTCACTCTCTCTCCAACCCTTCCCTCTCTTTCTTCCATTCTCTCAAAATAAATTAATTAATTAATAAGAATAATAGCAACAACAACAAAACAACCTATTGAATTATTTTTTATTTTAGCCTGATCCATTTCTGTTTCATATATCCTTTTTTTAAAAGAAGGATTTCTTTTGAGAACTTCATTACTGGTTTCTCAAACAAGCAAAAAAGCATATATTTTTATATATGTACACACACACACACACACACACACACACTCTTACATATTACAGGGAACTTTGTTTAGGCTTTGAAAGATATAAATATAAAAAGAGATGTTTAAACATTTTCCAACTCTAACTGATAATAATACAGAAAGTTCCAAAGAATGAAAAACACAAGGAAGTCAGTCACAATAAAAAATAAATTTGGAAAAATCAACATTTATCAATGAAAGATATTTACATTTTAAACTCTAGAATTACAACATAATGCTAAAAACAAAAAACAAGTTTTCCCTTTGACTATATTTCTTCAATTTTCAGGTTTAAAAAATATTAAGAATTATGAAAGAGTGAAGGCAAAGAGTAGCTTTGTCTATACAATCTTGAGGTAAAGAAGGATAGATGAGCAGTTACTCTTACACAAATGCAACGATAAGAACTTTAAAGATCCAAATGAGGAGGATTCTGGATCAAGAAGCATGTACAGGGGAATGAGTGTATGGAAAATGCTTTCTGTGCAATTTTTCTTTAAACTTAAAACTGCTCCTTCAAAAGGCTATTACATTTTTAGAAATGATTTTTAAAAATAAAGTAAAAGAATGCAGCAGTTTAATAAAAGTATGTAGGATTGGGGAGTAAAAGAAGAAAAACAGAGTTGAATGTAAGGTTGTGAATGGAAATGGAGAAAAGATGGCAAGTTTGTTCAGTAGTAGATACAATTTTTTATTTAGAATCTAGCCTATATTATAAGACTTGTCTCTTGTACATATAATTTTAAAAAAATAGAACAATTAAGCTTTCATATATTTCAGACTCTTCCCTGGATTTGAAGTTATTATGTTTTTCTGTACTACTTTGAGCTATAAATTAAAGAAATATATTAATAAGTCAGTATCTCTCACTTTATGGCTCAAGTCCATGTAACTAAGGTAGTGACTAATAACCAGGAAAATTTATTCTCAGAGATAAAAGGACGTATTTTGAGAGATGATTAAGATTGGAAAAGCAATATCATGAAGGGATTTTAGGGGGGAAAAAATCACAACTTGGAACCTCTATTAATGCTTTAGACACTCAAATAATTAAATAACAGATACATTAATGTTTTGAAATTCTATAAGGCTATAAAAACCTTTCAACAAATGTTAATTGGCACAATCTGGTTGACAAAGCAGCATATTATCTCAGATGGAAGCTGTGTTTGAGTCATATTTCAACAGGTTCAATTAGACTTTCTTGGTAGAAAGAGCTGTACAATAAATCATACAGAGCAAACACATCATCTTACCATCAGAAAAGAAAAAGCTGTACAAGGCAAATATTTCTTTATGTGGGCTAGAATGAGCACTTACATAATACATCAGTACAGGAAGTCCCAGAGCCCATACCACCTGGTTTACTTTTAATGTTTTTATTAACATGAATATATAGAAGGTAAGTGATACTGAATCAACCATACCTTTGTCCCTCCTGTAGCAGCTGAATATCAGGGTGCCTGTGACCAACACACAGAAATAGAAAATTGAAGGTAACTGATATGTCAAATATATTCAAGTGTTTACTATAATTACATTGGAGAGAAAATATAAAGAGTTTTTAAAGAAAAAAATTAAGGGATAAAGTACTATGAAACTCATCCACAAGAAATCTGGATTAATATCTCTACCCAAAATTTACTAATAATTTAGTTCAAATTCCATGAGCCAAATAAAGGTTTCCCTGTCTAACCTGCTAATGTAAATCACTCCCTCCTCTAAATTGCAATGTACAATTAATATATATTAATCATGTCCTCTTTTATGACCTAATACTAGAATATTATCTAAATGTCTTACTTTTCATGTTTAATTCAGATTTCTTAAATAAACAACAAGCTCTTTGAAGGCAGATATTATAGAAGCTCTTGTATTTCCATTATATGGTTAGTAAAATTTTTTGCCCTAATTTCTGATAAAGCAGTTATATTATAGTATAGATGTAAACTATGTATACAGATGGTTTAATTTAACTAGAAGAAAAATTTTGCTGTGCAACACCAGTAATCACATTTGGCTGAGCATCATGATGTTAAAAATGGGGAAGAAAAAGCTCTTAGAAAGCCTGGTATACTAGTAAAAAGGAACAAATATAAAAGCAAATAAATCCAAGAAAACAAGAAACCTGTAACATACTTCTAAAGTGACTCAGAAAAAGTGCCTTCTGAAGACTATAAAATGGATTAAACAAAAGTAAGTTTACAAATAAATAAATAAATGAAATGATATTCCATGTTTATCAACAGGAAGACTCAATATTGTTAAGATGTCAACTTGATCTACAGATTCAATGCAATCCAACCATAATTTCAGCAAATTATTTTGTTGATGTCAACAAATTTATTCTATTTTTATTCTAATGTTTTTATATAGAGGCAAATACCCAGATTAGTTAACACAATATTGAAGGAGAATAAAGTTGGACAACTAACATTACCTGACTTCAAGTCTTACTATCCTACCTAATAAGAGTAATATATAAATTAACCATCACTCTGGTACACTCACAAGCCACATCCAAGAGCCAATCAGAGCAAGTATGCAAATAAACCCATCAAGATGGCTACAGCCCCAGAGAGCAGGAGGGAGGCTTGGGTTTCCTAGGCAACGGGAACATCCTCTAGACCCAGGCTGCTCCTAGCCTGTAGGCCCATAGGCCCTGAGCAGCAGGGGTCCCAGACCACCCCCTGGCCACTTGGAGCCTATGAGTGCAGGTGCCAAGCAGTTGGGGGTGGGGCGGGAATGTCCCTGCATCACTCTGCCCCCCACCTGCAGCCACTTGGGAATGCTCCAGCACCAAGCGGCAGTTTGGATCCATGCCTCCAGCGTGGGGTCTCCGGCCAGCAGCAGCATGGGCACCCACGTGGCAATCGGGTCGCGCCCCCAGCCTGGGGTCTCAGGCTGGCAGAGGCATGGGGATCCATGCAGAGATTCCCTCGTGGCCCAGCCTGGGTTCGCAGCCACTGAGTCACACCAGCCAGGCAGATATGGAGGAATCTTAATTATATATATATATATTATTGATGTTTATCCAAAGGAGTTGAAAACTTATATCCATATAAAAACTTGCACATGGATATTTATAATAGCTCTACTCATAGCTGCCAAAACTTGGAAACAACTAAAATGTCCTTCATTGGGTGAATGGATAAATAAACTGTGCTATATCCAGACAGTGGAATATTATTCTGCATTAAAAAGAAATGAGCCATCAACATGAAAAGACATGAAGAAAATTTAAATGCATATCACTAAGTGAAAGAAGCTAGTCTGAAAGGCTATCTATTATACTATTAATAATTCCAACCATATAACATTCTGGAAAGGGTTAAACTATGAAGATAGTAAAACGATCAGGAGTTTGGGGGTGAGAGTAGGGAGGGGTGAAAGGACTAGGTGGAGCGCAGAGGATTTTAGGGCCTGATATTATCAATGGTGGATACAAGCCATTATACATTTGTCCAAACCCATAGAGTGTACAGCACCAAGAGTGGACCCTAATGTAAACCATGGACTTTGGGTGATAAGAACATGTTGATGTAGGCTCATCAAATTTAATAAATGTGTCATTTTGAAGGAGGAGGTTGCTAATGGGGGAGGATATGATTTATGTGGGGGCAAGAGGCATATGGGAGATCTCTGTACCTTCTTCTCCATTTTATTGTAAACCTAAAATGGCTCTAAAAAGTTACTTGTTAACAGGGGAAAAGTAAATATAAGGAAGCAGAAAACATTAAAGATAAGCTAAAACACTGAGCATAAATTCCATTTAAAGGGCAAAATAGGGCTGCAATAAAGATCATATTACAAAAACCTTCAATTAAAAAACATCAAGCTAAATGGCTAGATAGAACCAGAAATCATTTGAGTTATGGCATTTAAAGACAACCAGAGAAAAATGTCAGTTACAAGTATCCTACCTAATAATACAGTAATATGCAAATTAACCAATACTCTACTTCACCACAAGCCACACCCACCAGCCAGAGTATGTAAATTAACCCAACAAAGATGGCAGTTGATTTGCATATGTGGAGGAAGGGAGGAGTGAAGACGGAAGACAGCATAGAAGGAAGAGGGAGGGAAAGTGGAAAGCAAGGTGGCTGCTGGAGGGAAAGCACTGGCAGAGTGTGGGATGGGGCAGGTTGAGGTGCACAGAGACGGCACGTGGCTGCGGAGGCGGAGGAAGGCGGCGAGGGCGGTGGGGGCAGAGGGGCAGGTAGGCTCAGCGGTGGTGGCAGTGTGCGCAAGGCCATGGAGACAGTGGCCATGGGCGTGGTGGGGCGGGTGGGATGGGGTGGGGTTCCCCCTCCCCCCCCTGCCCGTCACAGCAGGAGAGGTGGGAGGGTGGGAAAGGTGGCGGTGGCAAGCCAGAAGTCTTTCAGGAATATTCCTGCAACAGGTCACTAATCTATATATATAAAAGCCTAAGTGACCGAACGACTGAATGACCAGTCGACCGGTCCCTATGAAGTGCACTGACCACTAGAGGGCAGATGCTCGATGCAGGAATTGCCCCCTGGTGGTCAGTGTGCTCCCACAGCCAAGCTCCCTTGGCCAGCCAACATCCCGAGGTCCCTCCCCCAAGTGAGCCAGCCCCGATCGCCCTGATGGGGACTGGGTGAGACAGCCCTGATTGACCCAATTGCCGGCCAGGCCAAGGGACCCCACCCATGCATGAATTTGTGCACCAGGCCTCTAGTTTCTCTATACAATTAAAACATCACAGCATTAGGCATATAACTCTTACCTAGAGACCCATTCATCTTTTGTTCAGTTTCAAGCATAGGAGGCACTGCAGACTCTCTTGACAATCCTCTTCTTAGTTATGGGAGGCATTGCTTACTGACAAAGGCACTCTTTTCGACTATACTCCTTTCCAGTGCCACACACCAGAGGCATACAAGATGAAACCAGGATTTGGCATCCCTGCTCTAGAGACTGCCCTGCAGTTCAGGAATTCCCCAAGGAAGATAATAAAAACATATAAATGGAAAAGGCAGAATAAGGCAATGGCAGTGAGTTGCCTGAGAGTAAAAATTTAATCTATTTTTTCTCCTTCCTTAAAGTCCCTCAGCCAATTGAGGAGTATGCTTTCCCAATCATCCAAATTATTCTGTTTACCCTACTTCTTCCCACTCACTAAAACTATAATCATAGAAGCTACCATGGTTTGGTCTTTCTCAAAGAAAACAAATGACACTGCTTGGGTGGTGATTAGCCTTGACTGCTACAGGGATATTTATAACTCCCTTGTAGAGGTTTTTTTTTGGCCTAAATAATATGCTAAAGTTTACAATTGTGTTTTATTCCCGGTTGACAACGTTCTCCCACTTCCACTTTAGTTCTCTCACTCTTATTATCACATTTCCTGGTCCAAGTCTTCATGCCTAAAATTATGAAGGTTCAGTACTATGAAGGTGTCTGGCATTTGGTCCTCTGGTGTCTGAGTATCACTGTAAGGAAGAAAGTATGTGCAGATACAGTGATTCTCAATTGGATTCTTACATTAAATGGCTATCCTGCAAATACAGAATATATTCCATCATTCAATAAATTCCTAATTATATAAAATTATGACCTATTATATGTATGGACCATGAGGAGTATGGTGATACAAAGAATAGTTTCCTATTCATCAGGATCTTATAATTTAGTAGAAAGAAAAACACATGTTCTAAGAACTTTATAAATATTAATCCTTATAAGAATCATATACCTGCTATTATCATCCTATTACAGATACAAAGACTGAGTACCAAGTCATTTGCTGAAAGTCACACAGCTCATAATTGGCAAAGCCAGCAATCAAACACCAACAGCACAGCTCATGAGAACTACACTGTTGCATCACTAATTTCACGAGAGTACTTGATAAGTACCAGGAGAGATGTATGAGCTGCCACAGGAAATTAGAGAATTTTTAATAGTTCCTGCTGAGCTAATGAAAAAAAGCTTCAGATTCAACTGGGTCTATAAAGATAGATATAGTTTGTACAGTTAGGCATTTGAAGCTAATCCTATGTATTCTACTTTGATGTTTTACTTCACTCTTCCTTTTCCTCTTTCCTTTCGTATATTTTCCTTTTAGCAAATGTACCCCATCTTTTTAACCCTGTTCTTCAATTATACAGCCCTGCCTCCTTTCAATATAAGCCTTTTTTAAAGAAATCTGCACTCATCATTTTCTTTTCAATCAACTCCTCTTTGCCTCCTGGAATATATTTCCTCTATTTCAGCAGAGTAGGCATTTACTCTACTGAAATAACTCTCGATAACATAACTAATTACTATAGGACTACTAAATTTAATTGGCATTTTTCAGGATTCTTTTGCTTTTTAAAACAGAAGAAAAAGAATCTATATAAAATATCTAGAAACAACAATGACTAGTTGTGCTGTTGTTTTTTTTAACCATTAGACAGAAAAATGAAACAAAGGAAATTTGGAAAATAGTAGC